CCTCTGCGATATTAATTTTCAATGAGCATTGAGGAAGAATTTCAAGGGTGTTACATGGGGGATTATCTCTTTCGCATGTTCTTTTTCAACTCTTCATTTGTTGCTCCTCCAGCTACCTGTGACCTTTCCCCTGTCTGTCTAATACCCTATCAGAATAAAAAGCAGCGGGTGTTCAAAGGAAGACGACGATTCTAGAATCGCTCATGCCTCTAGGTGCACCTCACCATATATTACTCTCAAATTCATATATTCTTTGATCGGGCTTATCTGAAACACAACGTACTTGGGGATGGGATTTTGGATAAATATGGTGTATTTAACGCAATATTAGGTGTAGATGCTATATTACTAATACAGGTGCAATTGAATAGTTATAGGAGAATAGTAATTGTTAGTCGGATCCGGATTCTTAATGAAGTTCTTAATTTATCACTAAAAAAATACCACACTTGCAATAGGCGAGATATCAGAATACAGTTGAGTTTTATGAGAGAAGATTATGAAAATATTATCTATTTTGTATATAATAGAAATAGAATCTTAAGATGAATTCTATAAATATAAAAGGCGCTAGTTAGTATATACGAATAAGATATTCTATGATAAATGTAAAAATATTGCCCAAATATAAGCGTTCGTACATTCCCAGGGACATCTAGATCAGCGTGGCTAAATGTAAAATCCTACCAGGAATCAAGCCTCCTTAAATGCACCAGTGATAATGTAATTTTGTTGAATTTTTCAAAATTAATAGAATAAATATCGAGCAAATTTTAAAGTAATAGTTGATCAACTCACAATCAATTGAAAAACTAGATTATTTGAATTAATTGTTGCCAATTGATTTGCCACTCTACGATCTACTGACGCTAGTGGTAACTAACGTAATCAACCATCTAACGCTCGTTTCCACCCAACGCTCGCCTTTGTAAATCAATTACAATCAACTTCAAATGCTAATATCTCAATGAATATTCATTCAAAACTATTCTAAAAAAGAGAACAATAATTTATAGATATATATTATATTATATTATATTTTTATAAGAAAAAAATATAGAATTATTAATTTATTAAACTTTTTAAAATACTATTTTAAAATAAAATACACAGTATATATTTATAAATATATTTATAAATATTGATTATTTCCATATTAAAATTAAATATTTTATAGATTTTAAATATTTTTAATAGAATATAAAATTTTATTTAAAAATTCTTATTTATTATTTATTCATTTAGAATTTTATATAATAATATATGAAACAGAATCACGGGATTTGGAAATATTGAAATTTTAAAAGGAAAAAGGTCTTTACTTTTATATAAATACACTGAAAACGATAGCGAACGATAGCCCTGATCGCAGGGAATCTCACGACACCCAGCAATCCCCAGTTGAGGTGGTGCTGGTGCCATGGTTGTGATGGAGGAAATCGTGGGACGCGCTGACGGACGCCCGCGAGAAGAAAACTCTGACAAGAGGCAGCAGCCCACCACATGTGGAGCAATATTGACACAGTTGAGCAATGTTCTTTGCAATGGGAGCGAAGATCCTGCCATCAACGGCAAAGGGAAGGAGGTAGTGGAGGAGGCAGCCAGGTTGGTGAGGGAGTTGAAGGTCAAACTGGGGGAGGTGATGCTGGCCAAGGTGGAAGACGCGACCGTGGCGACACGTGTACAACGCCAACCCGAAGGAGTGAAAGAAGCCAAACTGTCATCATGGGCCAAGGTCGCAGGACAGGGAATTCCAGAAAAACCAGTGCCTAACCGAACCCTCCGCGAGATTACTGTCCTACGCCGGGACTGCGAAGCCCTCCCAGCTGAGGAGGCCACCCCCCCAGCGATTGTGGCAGCCGTCAACGCCAGAATTGTGGATGTGACAAAGGGAAAGGTGCTTGCAGCAAGATGTCTCCCCAGTGGAGACATCATCCTGACAACCGACGCGAGGGAGACCAGGGAGGCCTTGACTAAGAGCAGCACATGGCTGGAAGTCTTGGGACAAAAGGCGAAGGCAAAGCACACCCTGTACCCAGTCATGGTTAAGGGAGTCCCAATGGGCAACACCAACTGGAAGGAGGAACAGCAAGCCATCAAGGCAATTTACGCACAGAATGAAGGACTCCGAAGAGGGGTACAAATTGAGAGACTGTCTCTACGACGGAATGCCAGCTTGCAGGCAAAGGTTGGGTCTCTTGTACTCAGCGTCACCTCGCCTCAGCAAGCCAACCTACTAGTAGACAATGGATTGATAATAGACAGCATATTTTGTGACGTTGAAATCTTCCACCGGGAAGCGCAGGTCACCCGGTGCTTTAACTGCCATGAGTATGGGCATACGGCCAGATTCTGCAGGCAGGCCAAAAGGTGCGGGTTCTGCGCGGCAAAAGAACATGACGACAAGGAATGCCCAGCACGAAAAGCTGGGGAACAACCGAGGGCGCAAATTGTAGGGGAACACACCCAGCCTGGGTCTCTAAGTGCCCTGAGAGGGAGAGGGCATCAAGCAGGGCCCGTACAGCATACATGGAAAGACCCCGTAAGTTTATGGAGCCAAAAGCACAAGATGGGTGGCAGGTGGTGCAAACCAGAGGAAATAAAAGGTTACCCACTGGGGAACCAGAGGGCCAAAGAAGAGGACCAGGCCGACCCAAGGGGATTCTGCAAGCAGGCGAAGCCCAGAGAGGAGCTCTAAGTGCCTTTATAGCACCACAGAGCTCACAACCTGGGTCTCAGCTACAGGAGGACCTAATGGACTACACGCAGACCCCAGCCCCCACGCAACAATGAGGGACACACTAAACCTCCTACAATATAACGTGCACAACTCTGCGAGAGTTATGGGTGCGTTATTGGCAGACCCTGCAACAGAAGACAAATACGACGTAATTGCAGTACAAGAGCCCAGCCGGAATCCCCACATGCTAGCAACACACTGCCCCAGAAGCTGCGGCTTCTGGCCAGCATATCACCCGGAAACACACCCAAGAGTATGCTTTCTGGTCAACAAAAGGCTCGTGGAACACACATGGGAGTGCCACTACCACTCAGAATACATTGCAGTGCTGACAATCACCACCGACCTGGGTAAGGTGCAAATAGTCAATGTGTATGCACCTCCTCCAGGGGGCTACAGCAGTGAACCGGAGGAATCCCCCATAGGCCAGCTGCAGGAGGTAGCCGGAATGGGCACAGATGCAGAGCTGGTCATATTAGGAGATCTTAATGTCCACCATGAGAGGTGGGGAGGGGTGAGAGTGGAGAGAAACTTCCGCATGGCATGGCAGCTAATAGCACAGGTGGATAGGCTGGGTCTCCAGCTTGCCACACCTGGCGGGGCTACCACATGGCAGGACAGAGGCAGCCCAGGGACGACTATAGACCTCACCTTTCTATCACCACTCCTGCACGACAAGCTCAGGAGGTGTGCAATAGCGGAGGAGGCATGCAAAGGATCTGACCATAAGCCCATAGAAACAACACTGGAACTCACACCCATCCCAAAGGAGGCTGAGAGACGAAACTGGAAGAATGCGGAGCCTGAGGAGGTAGCAAGGGACTGCCAAAAGCTATATGTGCCACAAAGCCTGGACTCCAGGCAAGCAGTCAAGGAGTATGCAGACTACCTGGTAGGATTTGTAGGGACATTAGCGGACAAACACGCCACCGTAAGTAAGGCTGGGTTAAAATCCAAGACATGGTGGTCACCGAGGGTGGCCAAGGCAGTGGAGGAGTACAAGCAGGCTAGGAGGTCCCAGCTCCCAGAAATGGAGCGGCTCAGGGCACGCTGCAAGCGCAACAGAGAAATCCACTTGGCTAAGACAGCAAACTTCAGAGATCTGGTTGACAGGACCCGTGATGACCCCAGATTGATGTGGGGACTGGCAAAATGGGGCAAGGAAAGAAGCCATCTGCCCCCACAGGCACCTACTGTCCCCCCCCTGAGAACAGGGGAAGGGGCTGACGCGACGGTAGAAACCTCTTTTGAGGGGAAGGCTGAGGCATTACGACAACGGTTCTTCCCACAGCCAGAGCCCGCCGACTTAAGTGACACCAATATGGAGCTGCTGCAAGCTGAAAGGGAAGCGTCAAATGACACCATCAGTGTGGAGGACATGGAAAGCCTGATCCAGAGACTGCCAAACAGGAAGGCACCAGGGAGGAGTGGGATCACCAACGAGTTCCTTAAGATGCTGGGCAGAACATTTGTGGAGGCCATAACAGCTCTCACCAATGCATGCTGGCATTGGGAGACTTACCCAGACACGTTTAAGGAAGCCAAGACAGTGGCCTTGCGCAAGCCAGGGAAGGCTGACTACCAGACTGCAGGAGCGTGGAGACCCATTGCCTTGCTGGACACAATAGGGAAGATTGTGGAGGCAGCAACTGCAAAACGCCTGCGGAAGATCGCGGAGGACCACAACCTGCTACCCTCACAGCAAATGGGGGCAAGAAGGGGCAGGTCCACGAAACAGCCATAGCACAACTTCTAGCCCAGATAAGGACAGTGTGGCAGCACCCAGGACAGGTGGCATCGGTACTCTCCCTAGACATGACAGGGGCCTATGACAAGGTGCTGCGGGAGCGAATGGTTCACATCCTCCGGCGACTGGGCATCCCCAGGGACCTGGTGGGATGGGTTGCGTCCTTCATGACCAACAGGAAATCCACAATTGCCTTTGAGGGCCAGGAATCAGACACCTTTGACATCCCAGCAGGCATCCCGCAGGGGTCACCCCTATCACCTATACTATTCCTATTCTACAATGAGGAACTGGTGCGCATCTGCTCAAGACCGGGGCGCCCGGTGGTGTGCATAGCCTTTGTAGACGATGTCAACGTGATGGCCTATGGCCAGTCCACTGAGGACAACTGCAGGGAGCTCCTGCGCATGCATCGGGCATGCGAGGAGTGGGCAGCACGGCACGGGGCGGTCTTTGCCCTCCAGAAGTATGAGCTAATGCACTTCACACGGGCGCGCAACCAATTCAACCTACAGGCTGAGCTGAGACTGCCAGGACAAACTATACAACCGAAACAGGTGATGAGGGTATTGGGTGTATGGTTAGACTCTAGGCTGAGATGGAAGGGCCAACTGGACGCGGTGGCAGGCAAGATGAAGACTCAAGTCAGAGCACTGTCCCAAACCACCCAATCCACATGGGGGCTCCCACTACGACAAGCGAGAATGGTGTATAACATGGTCATCAGGCCGGCCCTGACCTATGGAGCAATAGCATGGCACCAGCCACAGGGGCAGGGGGGCACGGGTCCAGCTAAGTCAGGACTGGCCCTCAAGCTGACCACAGTGCAGAACTCCTGCCTCAGAATAGTGGCAGGGGCATACAAAAGAACCCCAACAAGCACACTGGAAGCGGAAACCCACACAGTACCCTTAGACATCCACCTGGATGGGCTAGTGGCAAAGGCGGTCAACAGGATGAAGGCCTCAGGAATGGCGCAACAAATTGAGAATGCGTGTGCAGCCATAAGGACCAGGCTTCGGCACCGGGGGGTGACAAGGGGGGCACAGAGACACATGGGAGCTGTGGTTCACCCGGCAGCCCTGCCAGTGGACTGGGAACAGCAATGGATTCAGGGTGCTAAGGAGAGAGCTACAGCAGAGATGACACCGGAACAACGAGCCAACCTGGACCAAGCCTCATATAATCACTGGCTGAAGCGCGAGCAACTCTGGAGGTGGGTGCAGAGGTGGAAAAGACGTGAGCCCCCCTGGGG